CTTCTTTTATTTTTCTAAAACTAAATTCTAAAATCCTTAAATTATTATTAAGTTATAAAAGCGCAAATTAACTTCCAACAACAATTAATGCACAATTAAGTAATAATTAAGCATAAAATTGTATAATTGGACATTAAATGCTAAAAATGCAAAAGATGCTTATTTTTGTAATTTTCAATTTTTGTAAAACAAACTTAATTACTAACAATTGTAGAATTAAATCCTACATGCAAAATGCGACATATTTTTGTATTTTTTATTAATTTAACAAATAAACATGCATAGACAAATACAAATAATCATCCAAAAATGTCACAAAAATTCTTAAAATTGCACACCAAGGAAAATCATTTTATTTTGAATTTTTTGGGAGTAATTCTTTCATAGGGCAAAAATCACGTGCTCACAACTACTACCAGAAATTGTAGTAACATCTGCTTTACACATATTTAAATGAGAAAAATATTTCTTCTCTTTGAATATTGTATGTGTTGTACATGAATCAATTAAACAAATATTTTTACAATTGAACTTTGATCCAAGTTTGCTTTGTGGAATATCCATATTTGCTTCCCATGGGTTGACATACAAAAAGAAATATACGAATAAACATTAGTATTTTCAGAGATAAAGGAAAAGAGACAATTTTTTTTTGAGTATTAGACGCATACAATGTTATATTGGCAGCAGCGGAGAAGAAATTCACAATTATTAAATACAATATTATAATGGCATCTCCTGACTTATCTTGATTGATTTGTGGTATAAAATAAGTTTGATTATACGCCAGATTCTCTTGAAATTTGCCCTAATTATCCTCCCCTTTTGGTTGATTAAGAAAAATGAAAATAAGAGATATGCTTTACAGCACATCTGAAAATTAACTAAGATGATTTGGTTGTCAATTTCAACAAACCAAAGAATGAAAGCCGTTCATATTTAGTTATTTCAAAACCAATAATTAAATATTTTCTTCACATTACAATATTACTTCAATAAAAATTATGTTAATCCTTAAAAACTAACCAAACTGAAATATTGTTCAAAATAAATAGTAGAACTATATTTAATTAAAACGAACTAACACTTTCATAAAACAAATAATACCAATTGATACTAATGACTACTACTCATGTAAAAAATTATGATTACATGATGTTTATTTACTAGCTACTACGAATAGGAAAAATAAAAATTAAACTACTTAATCTTCTTTAACCACGGATCCATCACCGATCAAGTGGTCTATTTTTCCATCAGGGTGCTCAAAAAAATCTGCCACATCCAAGTGGGTGATGTCAAATTCATTGTCATAGACAAGATTAGCTTCATGGCCTTTATTCTTTAGAGATGTTTGATAAAGCTCAACCAAATGTCTTGGTACACGACAAATATTTGCCCAATGCCCTTTTCCACCACAACGATAGCATTCAGTTTCTGAACCATTTGCTTTTGGTTTCTCATCTTTCCCTTTCCACTTTTGGTGGTTATTTTTCTTTGGGGGGTGATTAACACTAGGAAAATTTCTTCTTTGTCCACGGCCACGGTCATGACCACGACCACGAATAGGGCACGGTCTTTTCCACGCTTAGCATAATGGGAATACACCTCATCCACTTCAGACAATGGTGTAGACCCAGTGGGTCGATTTTCGTGATTTCTCATGAGCAAGTCATTATTTCGCTTAGCCACAAGGAGAAGAGAAATCAACTCAGAGTACTTCTTGAAACCTTTCTCTCTGTACTGCTGTTGCAGAACCATATTGGAGGCATGAAACGTTGTAAACATTTTTTCAAATATATCATAATCAGTGATAGTATCTCCACAGAGTTTCAATTTAGAAGTAATTCTGAACATCGCAGAATTATATTCAGAAACAGACTTAAAGTCTTGGAGCCTAAGATGAGCCCAATCATATCGTGTTTGTGAAAGAGTGACCAACTTTAAGTTGTCATATTTTTCCTTTAAGCCATTCCACAAAACAAGTGAATCTTTGACTGTAAGATATTCTATTTTCAACTCTTCATCAAGGTGATGGCGCAAGAAAATCAAGGTCTTAGCACAGTCTTGGGTGGATGCTTTAGTTTTATCTTTAATGGCGTCTCCAAGACCCATTGCATCTAAATGGATTTCAGCATCCAACACCCATGTCATATAGTTCTTGCCCGAAATTTCAAGGGCAACGAACTTTCTTTTCATAATATCAATCATAATTAAAAGAGGAGAAAAGTTGTACCTTAATCTTCTTGAACGGTAGAGTCTCGGGCTGATAACGTGTGATAAAACAATAAAAGTAGAAGAACAATATTGCAGAGAAAGAGAGAAAATTCTTATTGAATTTTGGGATGATCTACAATTGGGTAAGACCCCTCTATTTATAGGGAAAAAAATGACTTAGCCACAAAGTAAAATTCTCTACAAGATAGACATTCACTCTAAATAGAATTCTATTCATAGTGTCACACCTCCTTTTTACACACCGAAAGTGATATAAGGGAGTTTTTCCAATTTAAGTGACATTATTTGAAATGAGATTATTTATTTGATTTCAGAGTCGTCACTTAGGATAATTTAATTGGTGTCCCAAGTCACCGGTTTATTTTAAATCCCAAATCTAGGAAATTTCGACTTTCCTTTTGAAGTCTGCGAACCAGAAATTCTAATTAAGGAATTCTGTTAACTCGGGAGAAGGTGTTAGGCATTTTCGGGTTCTGTGGTTCTAGCACGGTCGCTTAGCAATTATTCTTGGCTCAAATTGTTTAACTACTCATTTTTAGGACCTATGTGCATTTATCTCTTTACCACTTTTAAATCACTTGAATTATTCGTAATTAAAGAATTGAGTTACGCGTACGTATACTCTTTTCTTTTGGCGCGTCAAAATCATGTCACGCGAACGTGTCCATGATTAATAACGCTTTTGTTGATTTATTAAGAAAGTTTTGTCGATGTTGCACGAACGCATACCTCGATTTATTTTTTATTTTTTTATTTAAAAAAAAAGTAATTATGTCATGCGAACGTGTACACAATTACGAGGGTAGATTAATTAAGAGTGTGTCTGAAAGCATACTATCAATGTGAATTATAATAGATATTGCTTTATTGGAAGCCATGAAGTGTTTTACCTTTGGAATCAAACTATTGGTATTTGAGGAAATTAGGCCTGCGAGCCTTTATTCTTGAAGGGGCTCGACAGAAAAACTAAATTGAGTGGCCTCATTCTTGGTTGAAATCCATTTAGCCCATAAACTAGAATAACTTTCAAAAACCAATAATTTTCAACATGTTATTTGTGGTTTCAACCTTGATAAACTAATTGGATAGTCTAAAAGTCGTACAATCCTCTTAAACCCCCACAGAACTAACATTGGCCCAATAATTCATTTTATCTTTGATCCCTTGAACTAAAAAATCATGTAACCCAATATTTAATTTAAACACACATTCTTATCCCTCAACCTTTAAGGCTTTAGTAGCAAACCAATGGGAACGATCAAAACAAATTAATATTTAACTAATAAATCACTAAACTAATCAACAAATGAGAAAACGTTTATAGAAAACACATAGAGCTTTAAGGAAAGAAACCAACTAAGAGCAGGTATAATACATGCTTAAATTTAGAGAAAAGACAAAATCAATGGACGAGCGAACAATATAATGATGGTTACTTCAGTTAAATACTTGTTTGCTAGTACAGTAAAAATAAACAAAAGCATGCTATACTCAAAAACAGAGTATCTCATTCCTTATCTCATTTAATTAGTAAGAATATCACAAAGTCAAAACAAAAGAAAAAAAATTAGCGGGTTACAAATTTAACATACAAAATAGGCATTAACAGAGCCATATGGATAATAAGATGGGAGTCAAGAAGGAACCTCAAATTTAACAGGACCTCGGTCAGAACCTCTCGGTTGAAATCCGTAGAATCGGAAAAACCTCTAACCTCGCAATTTCGTGAACCTCTTAGTTCGACTCACACCTCAAGCCGCGTGTGTGGATTTATAGCTCGATTTTGGAAGGCTTAAGGTTGAAGACGATGGCTGTAATTTTTGTGAAGAAGAAGATTCAATGGCTGCCGAAGCTCAGAAAATTCTAAAGCTTTTCGGGGGTCCTTAGTGTAAAGATTCAATGTTTTAGGTGTATGTGCTATTATATAGGGGTAGAGATTAGATTAGGAGTATGTGCCTAGAAATTATGGGCTTGGGAATTATAGGCTAGGTCCTAAATTAGGACTAAGTTTTATTCTTTCCCTAAGAGCGAGATTAAAAACGATCTCATTTATTAATTAGTCTTACTTAAATAAAATAATTATTAAAAAGACTGACCGTTAAAATAAATTAATTTTTTTATATATTTTTCAATATTAAAAATGACTACAAAACATTAACGGAATAATTTTTTTTAATTTTTATTTTTTTGTAATAAAATAAAGTAAAAGAGTAAAAATTAATTGAAATAGCTATATTAGGCATAAATTAAATATTTATATGCTAAAATATAAAAAAAATTGGAAAGGGTCAAAAATTGCATATCTACGCACAACAGCACTTTCTCTTTTTAGTTTGAAGGAAAATTTAGGGGACTTAAATACTACTCCAGTACTCCTAGTAGTTAAAAAAAAAACCAGCAAGACAATCACTATTTCTCTCCTACAAGTTACAACATAGAAATAGCATTAAAACCGAACGACAATAGTTGAATCCTATTGACACTGCACAGTGTCTTGAACATCAAGGAGTATTTTGAAATTATTAATTCCATTAACCTGCGAATTTCCTTGCTTATCCCCCCCCCCCCCCCCCCTTCTCTCACCTACCCACCCTAGTTCCAAAGAGAGAAAGAGGGTACCACTCTTTCAGTGAAACCATTGAACAAAACATGAAATTGGCAAAAAAATTTAGGTTCTTCACCAACTTTATAAGACAATCAGAGTTAACAATTGCAGAATATCAAATGAATAATCCAATTTTGAGCAGCAAACAAACAGACAATAAAATGAAAACTCAAAAAGGCATATTAGATCATCAGCACCATCATATATGTACAATTTCACTTTCTTCCTTTCCTTTTCCTAAGCTACCAAAATCAAGCCATTTCTTTAAAAAGGCTCTACAACCAGATTCTTTTTTCTGTTAATCCATCTGGAATATTTTTTATAGTACCCCTAAAAGCTTTGACTAAGCTTAAAAAAACAAGGGTTTATCTACTTTAATAAGAGGTTAGGGTTTAGTAATTAGTACTAACTAATAGGTGCTGACTTTAGGCAAAAACAGAGCCACAAGACAGAGCCATCAAAAGAAGAGCAGCTCTTTCAACTTCACCAAATTTCCTATGAATTGTTGGCTTCTTCTTCATTGAAGATCTCTGCCTCTGTAATATCACCACTTCTTTCCCTAACATCATAAATCTCACCTTCAATCCTTTGCTTAGCTTCCCATCATTTCCAATTTTCTCCTTTTGGCTATGAGCTAATTTGTCCGTACTACTGTTAGAACTGTCTGTCTCTTTCTTCTTCTTATCTGGGTCTTTGCCAAATCCAGATGGGGTACCCTTTTTCTTTCTGTATTTGATCCCACAAGCATTACACAGTGACTGCAATAAAGCAACTAATAATGCGAATTAGCATCTGATCAACTGATATGAAACAAAACCCAGATTAGAAATCGTTGGGTCATATGAAACAAAACCCAGATTAGAAATCGTTGATTATGACCCCAAAATGGGTGTAATAAACTTACCTTAGGCCCATAAGGGCCAACTCTCCACAAGGGTGTCTTTGTAGTTTTACAATCAGTGCAAGATTTAGCACTCTCAGTTGTCTCATCGGCCAAAGAATCTTCCTGTATCAGTAACAATTTATAAGAATTTAAACGGAAAAGAAAGAAAAAAAAACTACAATGCTGGCAAATTGAAGTATAAATAGGGTCTTAATTTACCTTTTGCGTTGGATCCATGAACTAACGAAGAAAATGGGAATGGGAAGAATTGGAGAAAACAGCCAAATTTTTTGATAATGCGGGAGAGTAAGGAGGATCAGAGGGAAGGTGGTGGGAGAAGCAGGGGTGTGGGGGGTGAAGTGGCTGATGTAATGATGGTCGATATTATAAAAGGACAGACAGCAAAGGAAAGTGGATTCAACCCTAATTTTTCGATGTTAAAAGACAGAAATGGCCTTCAATTTTGCGTTTTGACGGCACAAAGACCTGCCAAATTAAGTGTTAGCTCTACCACGTGTCGACCTGCATGCACTAGATCTCTGGTTTTTGAGTGTGATTTTAGAGAAGATGTGAGTAAGTGAAGTAATTGACAAGAAAAAATAATACGCAGTGGTAAAAAAGGAAGCAACAAAAGATGATGAAAAGTTCTGTAATAAACACAAAGATTAATGAGAAAATAGTCTAACAGGAGCAGCCAAAGGGAATGTTCAGTTTCCACCAAGTAACTTATTTAAGGATTTCTATTATTATTGTTATTATCACTTTTGCAAATAAATTTACTGGGTTTGCGCCTCCGAAGAAAAAATTAATTTTTTATTATTTATTCATAAATAATGAAGGAGTTGGGAAAACACACTAGTGGAGATTTTTTTTTGACAAGGAAAAGATTTTTATATTTTATGTTAAAAAGGAGAAAAGAACTTTTAAAATAAACTAATAAAATTAAAGAAATTTCAATAGGAACTACTCCCTTCGGTCTAAAATAAATGATTTTTTGACCTTTTTTGTGATCCAAAATAAGTGATTTTTCCAGATTTCAAGAATGAATTAATTATTTTTTTCCTACATTGCCCTTGGAGTAAATAGTGTTGGAGTATGTGTTAGGAGTATTTGTGTGAAGAGATAGTAAAGGTTAATATGGTCAATTTCATTACTAATTAATGTTAAAAGGTGAATTTCTTAATTTGTGTGAAAACAGTTAAAAAATTGCTTATTTTGGACCGAAGGGAGTACTAACAAACAAAAAAGAGTAATTAAGGAAAGAGAAAAAAGAAGTAAAGAGCAACCAAGGTGGTAAAGGTAAAGGTTGTGTCTGGCCAGTGGCACCTTGAACCATTTTGTTAATGGGGTGCCACTTATATTATTTGTAGACATTCCTTCTATATATACATACATGTATACATACTATTGCATAGTCTCTATCAAAGCTTGCGGGTGACGTACCACCCCATCCCATACACATAGATCCGCCCCTGCTCCTAAGTGATCATGTATAATATGGTGTTATTGTTGAGAATTGTGATGAGATGAATATTATTTTTTTATGTATAGTAAGAGATTTTGAATTTGAGTTTTGTGATATACTTTGGCTTTTAAAGGACCTTACGAGGTGTGAATTGGGATTAATCTAATAATAATGTGCTCCAATCCTCTTGATATTGGTCTAATGCCCCTCGCTCTCTGAATTCTGAAAAGGTCCATGCTCAATTCCTCCGTTGAATCAATAGACCCCTCCCATCCGCGGAAGGAATTGCCACTGACATGAAAAAGAGCCATACGGTTGCTGGAAATTTTCCCAACAAATTAAGTACACAGTCAAGCGGATTACATTAAATGAAATAGAAGGAATAAATTCTACTTTTTTAGTAGTAAAAATAGAACAATCTTTCTTTCATCCAAACACAACAATTGAGAGTTAAGTATGTAAATTTAAGTATGATTGTACAAATTGGTGACTTCTCTAAGATAGATGTATAGCTATGCCTGTTATTAGGTAACTAAACGGATTAATGCTCACTCTATCTTCCATTGAAGATGATATAACATGGGACTATTAGAAAGAAAATTGGGGTTAAAACATAAAAACGGTAATTCACATTTTATAGAAAAGATTTTTACTATTAATATATACTGATAATTAAGATAAGAGTAGAACCGAATATCTTATGATTCTGTTTTGATTATAGGAGATGGAAAGTTCAAGCGCCTTTAAGAATTTAAAGGTGAAAATATTCTTGTACTGACCCATTCTTTTTCACCTTGAGAGCAATTATATTTTCTCTATCTTTTTTTTCCTTCAAACTATATTTTCTCTATGGATAAACTATTCAAGTAATATATTGAAAACAATCCAACTTTTGATATCACTTATACCATAAAAGAATTTTTTACGCGATTTAAAATTACTTTTTATTATTCATAAAAATGTGAGATTATTAACATTGACAAAATTGAACATTATCGAAGAGAGTATTTGAGCTAAAGCTCAACCACCATGAATGTGTGCCATGCAGCTCACAGAGAGAGGAGAAGAAGGTTCGAGAACTTTTGGAATAAGAGTAAACTTTCTCATTTAACAAATGGTAGTGCCCCTATACATATATACAAACTAATGATGTGAATTTTTACTCACTGACACTAACTAACAATGTAACTAACTACTTGTGAGCACGTAATTTTTGCCCTATATATGAATAATTCCCAAAATTCCAATAAAATAATTTTTTCTTTATTTTTACAATTCTTGTGAATTTTGGTGGCGTTTTGTGTTAATTATTGGCATCTTATTTGTGCATGTTAATTCATATAAAACACAAAGAGTATGCATTTGCATTTAGGTCTTAATTTTTATATTTAGTATCAATTAAGGGATAATTTGTTTAGAACAAAGCATGAAAATCACAAAAAATAGTTCACTTTTGCGTTTTTAATAATTTTTATTGTGAATTTGTCACGAAATAGTTTTTGAACAATTTTAGGAATTAATTAGTCTTTGTTTTAAAACAATCGGGATTTCATGTTAGTTTTACATCTTTATAAAAATTATAAAAAAAAATATTATAAAAATTGTAAAAGCAAGAAAAGAAAATAAAAAGAAAATAAGAGTATAAAAAGTGGTCTTATTTAAGACCCAAAATTTGGGCCAAATGCATTGAAACATCTCAGGCCCAAACGCCTCAAAAACATTTCAATTCAGTCCAGCCCAAGTCCCTACCCGGTCTGCCCCTCCCCCCCTTTCTAGACGAAACGGCGTCGTTTCGGGGTCCCTGGATCAGGACCATTGGATCTCATCAATCCGACGGTCCGGAACTAACGAGGTTCTAAATATAAAAGAGTCTGAACCTTCCCCCTACCCCCATTTGCATCGTCTTCCTTACCCCACCCTTCCCCTCAACAAACCCTAGCCCGCGCCGCCATCAAACCCCTCATCGGCGGTGAACACAAACTACGCCGTTCACTCCGAGGTTAACACCACAGATCCCCCTCACTCTCCTCTTTCCATTGTACCTACTGGTGTACCTCGAACAAGGCCGGAAATCGTCGAATCTTGGTTTGAAGTTTTCCGGCCAAGTGACAAATTCATCCAAATCAGTCCAAAATCACACCCCACAACCCTCGGCCCTTCCTCAACACTAATCCACGGCTATTTTCTTTCAAATCACCGTGAAACGGCCCGAATCTTAGATCTAAGAATTTCTGGCCAAACCCTAAAACCAAATCCTTTTGATTTCGAACCGTAGTATCCTTAACCATGTGTTCTCTTGTAAGAACACATGGTTAGGGATGTTACGCGTCAAAAATCTGAAGGGATTCAGATGTTTCTGACTGGCCGGAGTCCCTCATGTCTTTGTGAGTTTTATTGCTTCCTTTTACTCGCATGTTTGAAGTATTATTTACAGTGTTGTTTCGTTAATTGTTCTGTTAATTTTATGGTTTAATTGCATTAGTTTAAGTTCTGTTAATTACTGTTGATTCTGAGTTTGATATTTGGTTGAATGATTGTAAGTTCATGGTTTAAGAATTAGTTTAAAGTTCACTTAGTATTAATCATGGTAGCTTAAGCTCAGTTTAATTTTGTTTAGCTTGTTTGAGTTGGTATAATTGAACAGAATTGATTTTGATCAGTCTGATTAGTTAGTTTCTGAATGTTAGTTAATTAATTTCAGTTAGTTTTAGATTGGGTT